CAAACAAGATGACTGCATTAATTCTGAGCTGGTTACGAATAAATGGGGAGTTTAAAAAATGATAAGGCTCCTGGGCCAGACAATATTTCTCCAAGGGTTTTGAAGGAGGTTAAAGATTGGATATGTGAGCCACTTGCTACTATTTTTTGTCAGTGCTTGAATAGTGGGCAGGTACCACAGGATTGGAAGTTATCTAATGTAACTCCTCTTTTCAAGGGAGGTGATAAAAATTGTTCCAGTAATTATAGACCCATTAGTCTTACATCAGTTATGGGAAAGATTTTGGAAAGTTTGTTAAAAGATGCTTTGCAAAGTCATTTCACAAAGTTTAGAATTTTATTGGATAGTCAACATGGTTTCACTAAGGGAAAATCTTGCCTTACAAATCTTAACATTCTTTGAAAAGGTAACTGCTTATGCAGATGAGGATAAGGGTGTAGATTTGGTGTATCTAGATTTTCAGAAAGCATCTGACAAGGTGCCACATAAAAGGTTTGTAAAAAATTAGCTCTATAGGTGTGGAGGATAAGTTAGCAAATTGTATAGAAGAGTGGCTGGATGAAAGAAAGCAGAGGGTTGTTACAAATGGAGTTCAGTCAAACTGGATTAATGTCACAAGTGGGGTACCATCCGGGCTCAGTCTTATGACCTTTGCTCTTTTTGATTTACATCAATATCAAAGATAAAGGGATAGTCACTAAATTACTTACATTTGCAGATGATATTAAGGTCTTGGGTGTTGCTAGCTGTAAAGAGGATGCTGCTGATTTACAAAAGGATTGAGATCATTTAGTGAGATGGGCAAGTAAATGGCAGATGGGTTTTAATTATAATAAATGCAAGATAATGCATGTGGATTATCATAATTTGAATTATAAGTATAATTTGGATGGGAATAACCTTAATAGTGTTATGAAGGAAAGGGATCTTGTGTAATAGTCGATCAGTCTCTAAAGCCATCCAAGCAGTGTGCTGTTACTAGTGGTAGGGCAAATAGGATTTTTAGGTTGTATCTATAGAAATACTGAATACAAGTCTAAAGAGGTTATAATTTCATTGTACAGGTCACTGGTTAGGCCACATTTGGAATATTGTGTTCAGTCGTGGCTCCTTACCTTAGGAAAGACATTGAATTGTTGGAAAGGGTTCATAGAAGGGTTACTAGAATGGTGCCTGGGATGGAGAGGTTGTCATACGAGGAAAGGCTGAAATATCTCAAATTGTTTTCTCTTGAAAAAAGAGGAGTTAGTGGGGATCTGATTGAGATGCTTAAGACTGTAAAGGGAATTGATAATGTTGATGCATCATCTTTTTTCATATTTAACAATGAGAATAGTAGGACTAGGGGACACAAATATAAATTATGGCAGGTAGGAGTCATCTTCAACTAAGACAGTTTAATTTTCCCAACAGGATACTTGACCTTTGGAATGTGTTGCCTTCGGATGTTGTAGAGGCAGTAAATTTAAGTGAGTTTAAGAAAAAGCTTGATAAGTTATGAATGATAAGGACTGGCTTTAAGATTTTTTTATTTTTTTTATATATTTTAGTTTGGAGGATGGAACAGCTGAGATGGACCAATAGGTCCCATGTTTTCCCAAAACATTGTTATTTTAACAAGTGTAATGACATGTCATATGACCAATCCTTGTGAATATGCGTCTCCAAGACTAAAATAGTAGTTCAAACATTTCAAACTGGAATTATAGTTATTGACAATTATACATATTGTATGGTCTATCTACCATCTGTTCTCAGGACCAACAGTATACTTTAATCTGGGGAATACCTTGTACTAGTAATTAATATCAATAATGCAAGGTGTCCAAAAAATTTAAAAACACTTTTGAAAAATCATACTGGGAAGACTGTTTAACATAGAGATGGTTGGTTTGTTGCATATACAAGAATATTATTGAAAGTTTTCTACAGCAAATGGTCACTATAGTTCAGCATGGTCATCACAAAATGTGAAATATCTAGTATATATATAAATATACAACCTTCTGCTAATATTGGAGGAGTAACCTTTACGAAAGCTTCTAGAATACATTATCACAATCCATCCTTTCTTGTAACAGTGTGGGCAGGCACCATCTTGATGGAATAATATGTTGGTTTATAATTTTTCATTTGTGGCAAAACAGAATTCTGCAGTACGTCAAGGTATGGCTTAAAATATTAACAGCGAGGGTACCCAACTGTTGAAACATTACATTCTAATCATTATAAGTAGATACAGAAGTATATTTAATTAGCTATATCTATGGCTAGGATGATTTTTAGTTGAGCTCTAAGTATGTAGTTATTTATGTAGTAGTAATAATTTATTTTGATTTCTCATAATGGGCCAATGACAGTTTATGGGCGGCTGCTGCCAAGACATTCACTTTTAGACTGTCTATCACATGTGTATGTGCTGTAAATAAACTTTAACTGTTATTGTTGTATGTGCAACAAACTTTGTGTTTCTATGTTGAATGGTTTTCATGGTTTGAAAAGTATTGTACACCTTTATTATTATCAGTAATGTTTGAAATGGATAATTACAGATGAGCCACTGTTGTGTTTATATTGTATGGTTACAAGTGTATGTGTTAAGAGTATAAAAATATGTGGTTTTGTTGAACAAGAAAGACGGAGGGACATGCTTGATCTCTTGAGTGGTAGGGACACAGACATGATCTGCTTTGTCAGCCGAGAACAGTTTGAAACGTTTCAATTCACTCTGCTGTTAGGCTTTGGGTTACCTGAACATATTTAAATATAAATTTTTGCTAGCAATTTGAATCATTTTTATGTTAAGCTTTCATGGTGAGAAAATTTATTGTACACAAATGGTAACCTCAAGATTTGTATACTTTCATCATTGTTAAACCAGTAACTTATTTCTTGATTTATTTTGATATGATAAGTCTGTTTAGCTATAAAAACATCAGTATTTATATACAGCAGGTAACTAGGAGAGGAAGAGGTCGAGGAAGAGTAATGGCTGCGATGGTAAGTGTAGTCAAGCTGAGAATGTTACATCTCTATGTCATCCTGTTAGTGTATTCTGTTATCTCTTCTCTATGGTACTGTAGTATTTATCTAAACACTTTCAGATTCATTCTGTTTTTCCCAACTATGTTGAGATGTGATAAGTTCTTATTACCACATCTTAAAGCATTTTGTGGGTACCACATGCTTTTTAAATCTGTGGGGACTACAGTATAATTAATTTTTTATTTGATTTGAAGGTTTGAATCTTTAACTGCTCTATTAAATTTATTATTTTAATGGTAATAAATGTTTTAAATACGTAAAAGTTGGTTCACAGATTAGTTCATACAAAATGTTGGCTCTATTCATAATGGGCAGTTTTAGAAACTGTTGATCTTACTGAGAAGATTTACTGTTGCTGTTAAAGAATTACACTTTAGTAAATGAATGATAAGCATTGGAAACATTATTTTTGTTCCTGATTTGAGAAGATCTGGGTTGGAAGGACATTTCGATGGCCAAAAATCTATATGAAAAAATGTCCCTGGTGTCAAAAATGTGTGGCAATAATTATCATCGTTAATTTTAACAAAGTATGAAGTAAACTTGTGAGTGAAAAATGTGGACAGTTATTAAGAACTGATCAGAAGTAACTTGCCTAAGCCAGACCCAAATTTATTAAGAACTGATCAGCTATCTAAGACCCAGAAAAGTAATTGACTAGAAGCATTTACTGTTGTAAATAAATATACCAGAAAACTAAAACCTGTAAAGACTAGTATACATTACATTATCAGTTTAGTATCCTTATTTAAAATGATATTCTTGGCCATAATCCTAATATAGTATTTCACAGCTTGGGAGATTTACATTAGATGTAAATCCATACTTTAAGCTAATGATAATCTATTAATTCAAAAACCAATAAAAAATATATAAATATATATATATATGTTTAAAAAAATTAACATTTTAACCAATAATATGAGTTAAAAACTACCAAAAATGTAGTAGGCCATTACTTATAACATGCAAAAAATTGACTGATTATTAGACTCTTAGGATCTTCATAGCTTACCAAAAAACATTTTATCAATATACTTACAATACAGCTGTTTGTATATTTTCAGTAATGTGTAATTAATAACAAAAAAAAAAAAACAAGACTAAAATATAAAGAAAAGCACACAATTTACCTAATTGTACTTATCTATGTTTTACTGACTTCAGAGAAACATAGAAAAAAAAGCTACAATAGAGTTCTAAACAATGCTGAGCAACCAGTAAAAATAATGTCTTTAAAAATAAAATCAACTCAAAAACAATTTGTTATTACCATGATTGATAAAGCTGGTTGTCATTTTGGTTTTGTGTGTAAACAGTTATACACACAAATTTTATTTAATGAAATTAATACAAGTACTTTTACTAAAATACTTTAATAAAATATAATGTTATTATTAATTTAAAGAAGGCTATTAAAAATGGAATATCTATACATATTATTCTTGTATGAATTTATCATTTTTATATGCAATTCCAAAATTGCATAGAAATCCCGAGAAGTTCAGATTTATTACTTGTACCCTATACACTAAAATAGGTCTAAAAGATGTGATCAGGGTTTTCAATGATTTCTTGATAATTTTATAAATAATGAAAAGCTATATCCAGATTTAAATTTACTAGAATTCATCGTAAAAATATACTCCATTTCTGTATTTATAACAGTTACATTACTTTTAAGGAACAAGTATATAAGCAAATAGTGGGTATTCCAATGGGAACGAACTTCTCTTCAAATATGGCCAACCTATATCTGTTCTTTTAGTAAAACTCATTTGTGAAGCAGACTTTAAGTCCTAACTTATACATTTACACTTTCTGTTAGATAAATGATTTAATATCTATAAATAATATGAATTTTACACCAAACATAATATATCCAACTTACGATGGAGAGAAGTAATAATAGTAATGAGGTCCATGCTAATTATTTAGATTTGGACATTCCTTTATAAAAGGCACAATGTGCAGGGGACTATTTTTGATAAAAGAAGATAATTTTCCCATCCTTGGTCTACCCACACTTAACAGTGTTATTCCATGTATCATGCTAAAAGGCATTATTATATTTCAACTAAAAAGGTTTTTAATAGTCTGTAACAATTATTATTTTTTATGAATAATGTTCTGCCATTACAAAATAAACTGAAAGATAATGGCTATAAAAACAGGCAATTAAAGAAATACCTTTATATTTTATTAAATACAAAAATATTTTAGAAACTAAATTATCGATTGAGTAAAATACCTTATAAAAATAAAGAGGGCATTAGTTACTTTGACTTATAAGTAGCCAATAGCAATTTTTTAAAATAATTTTATTCAGTATACCGTGACAGAATGACTTACTTCAAGTAGCTGGGCTTGTCTCGGCATTCCCATGTTATACTTGAATAAATCTTCAAGAAAAATGGAGGAGGTTGGGAGTAAGAACTTTTAAGGTAGGGTGTGTAGTTCTATTCAATATCTT